AAGCGGCCCCACAGGAAGTGGACCTGGTCGAGCCCCGACGGTTCGACAAAAAATGAGATTGACTTCATTATGACGACCAAACGCCTACTGTTCAGTGATGTCTCAGTGATCGCAAGGATGAAAACTGGCAGCGATCACCGAATGGTTAGAGGCACACTGAACCTAAACATTAAGTTGGAGAGGTCTCGTCTAATGAAGTCAACGCTCCGTCCCCCCTCGTGCTCTAATCCAGAATCCCGAAAACTTTCAGCTCGAGTTACGTAACCGCTTTCAGTGCCTACAAGATTGCAATGCAGTGGACGATATGAATGACAAGCTCGTGGAAACTGTCCATGCGGTCGGAGCTAAGCTCTGCAAGACCCGCCGCAGAAGAACACAAAAACTCTCCGATCACACTCTTAATCTCATGGCTGTTAGACGGGAGATGAGGCTGCAATCGTCAACAGATTTGACGGCATACAGGCAACTGAACAGACAGATCTCCAAATGCATGCGGCGAGACTTACGCAACTTTAATACTGCTCGTATTAAAGAAGCGATCGAGCGGAACCAGGGCTCCAAAGTCTTTGCCAGAGATCTGTCTGCCAGTAAGAGCCAACTGTCAAAGCTGATGACTGAGTGTGGCAGCATCGTTTCCGGGACACCTGAAATTTTGAGTGAGATTGAGAGGTTCTATGGGCAGCTGTACACATCATCGTTGGAGCCACACGCAAGTGTGAGTAACGATCAAAGTGCAAGTCTTATCCGACACTATTCCGATGATATCCCGGACGTTAGTCTAAGCGAGATTAGAATGGCTCTCCAGCACCTTAAAAACGGCAGGGCCCCAGGCGAGGATGGAATTACAGCGGAGCTTCTGAAAGCGGGTGGAACACCGGTACTTGAAGTCCTTCAGAAGCTCCTCAATTCCGTCCTCCATGGTGGCACTACTCCAGAGGCGTGGAGCAGAAGTGCGGTGGTCTTGTTCTTTAAGAAAGGCGACAACGCTCTCTTGAAGAACTACAGACCGATTTCCCTTCTGAGCCGCGTCTACGTGCTGTTTTCGAGAGTCATTACGAATCGTTCACCAGACTCGACGACTTCCAGCCTCTCGAACAAGCCGGTTTCCGAAAAGGCTTCAGTACCATAGACCACAATACTTACCCTGCGGCAGATTGTACAGAAGACTGAAGAGTACAATCTGCCACTTTGCCTGGCGTATGTGGACTATGAGAAAGCCTTTGATTCCATCGAAATTTGGGCGGTGCTACAGTCCCTTCAGCGGTGCCAAGTTGACTGTCGGTATATCGAAGTGCTGAAGTGTTTGTACAGTAGGGCTACGATGGCTATCCGAGTACAGAACCAGACCTCGAAACCTATCCAACTGCAGAGAGGTGTAAGACAGGGTGACGTTATATCCCCGAAACTCTTCACCGCTGCATTGTAAGACGTTTTCAAGCTACTGGACTGAAAAGGATACGGTATTAACATCAATGGCGAGTTCATCACTCACCTTCGATTTGCCGACGATATAGTCCTTATGTCAGAATCGCTGGAGGACTTAAGCACTATGCTCAATGACCTCAATAGTGCCTCCCAACGGATAGGTCTTAAGATGAACATGGACAAAACAAAGATTATGTTTAATGTCCATGTCACACCTATGCCGGTAGTTGTTGGGAGCACTATGCTCGAAGTTGTTGACGAGTACGTTTACCTGGGACAAATAGTCCGACTAGGTAAGTCCAACTTCGACCAAGAGGTCAATCGACGGATTCAACTCGGCTGGGCAGCGTTCGGGAAATTACGACATATCTTCTGGTCAGGTATACCTCAATCTCTAAAAACTAGATTGTACAACCAGTGCGTGTTGCCAGTGATGACTTACGGATCTGAGATGTGGTCCTTCACTGCTGGCCGTATGAGGACGCTCAAGGTTGCTCAGCGAGCTATGGAGAGGGCTATGCTCGGAGTTTCTCTGCGTGATAGACTCAGAAATGAGGATATCCGCAGTAAAACCAGAGTGACCGACATAGCTCAACGGATTAGTAAGCTGAAGTGGCAATGGGCCGGCCATATAGCTCGAAGAACCGATAACCGATGGGGAAGAAGGGTTCTCTAGTGGCAGCCTCGTACCGGTAGGCGTAGTGTAGGGCGATGATAGATGGAGTGACGACCTGGTAAGATATGCAGGAAGTCGATGGATGCACGTGGCTCACGACCGTGCTTTGTGGCATTACCTGGGGAAGGCCTATGTTCAGCAGTGGACTTGTGAAGGGCTGTAATGATGATGATGATGATGATGATGAATTAAATGTCCGCGCGTGTGAACTATTAGAGAAAACGACGAAACAAGTGCTTTGATCTTGATATAAACGTCAAGTTATTTCGATCGCTCGGGCGCCTTATGAACTTGAGTGGCTGTCGTCATCAACTGTCCGCTAGGTTGAGCTGTCGTCAAAATCACCCAAGGGTTTCGCAATGTGGCACATCAGCATATTGTGAAGAAAAAGAATATAAAAATGAAGATTCCGAAAGAAATGATAGGCTCAGAAGGGCAAGAACCCAGGGCCGTAAAGCCAGTTAATAAAAAAAGATAATCACACACAACACACACGCAACATCTTTTACTCGATAGATATATGCCGCAGGAAGTGCGTTGTAAATGCCTGCAAACAGACCGACAGTCAGACAAACGCATATACACACAGACAAACACATATATTTTACACGATAGACCTATATGGTAAGAAGTACAACGTGATTGCTCGGACATGCATACTGACAGACAGACACTACGAAAAACACACATACAACATGTTTTATACGATTGATTTAAGTTTCAAGAAACACATTATGAGTGCTCGCACACTATGAGTGACAGACATACAATAAAACAGTTTCATAGACAAACACACACAAGGTAAATACAACGTATTACTACGCATATACAACAAAGGCGAAAAGAAGTGCTACGTGAGTCCCGGCATAAACTGACAAACGGACGCACAGTCACACAGACAATCTCACAAAGGCATACATACAACATATATTACTATACAAATAATTTATTTCATATTAATAAGACGTCATGCTTGAAATTATTTTACGTACATTCCACAGACCAAAGCTACACTGATGTACCACCAGCGGATCCACACTGGCGAGAAACCGTACCAGTGCACCCACTGCCCCAAGAACTTCAGCGTGTACCAGCGGCTGCAGGTAACTGTGCGACAGAGATAGGTATAGAGAGAGAAAGAGAGAAAAATAAACAAACCCAAGAGAGAGTTAAGCGAGATAGGATCACAGGATTGCTGTCACTAAGAATTCAGCGTGTCCCAACGACTACAGGTAATTATGTGTGACAGAGACAGAGAGAGAGAGAGAGAGAGGCATAAACACTATCCCAAGAGAGAGTTAAGAGAGACAGTAATGCTGTCCCTAGGAATTCAGCGTGTAACTGGCGTCTGCCAGTACTTATGTGTGACAGAGACAGGTAAAGTGACAGAGAGAGCATAAATACTATCCCAAGAGATAGTTAAGAGAGATTGGAGAAGGAGACAAGCACTATTCCAGAGATGGTAAGAGTGATTAGAACGATTTTCCACAAGGTTCTGTGTCTGAAATACGATATTTTTTTCTAATTTTCAACCTGGCCTTAATTTATATTGTATGTCGCAGATCCACGTTCGAACCCACACTGGAGAATCCCCGTACCAGTGCCAGCACTGCCCCAAGGCGTTCAAACACAAGGCCGCTCTGAATAGACACGATCGGGTGAGTTATGTTTAAATCATCATCATCACCATAGCCACCACCATCATCATCATAACCATTACCATCATTATTACAGCCCTTCACAAGTCCAAAAGTTATGTTTCAAAAGAAAGAACTATTTATTTGACACAAACTCGAAGTATAAGACTCTTAACAATTAAAAAGCTGTACATGCATATCATTAATTCAACTAGTAAATGTATTCGTCACCGTTACAGCGTATTAAAGTCCACTGCTGAGCATAGGCCTCCCCCGTAAATTGCCTCACAGGGGGGGGGGATATTCACAGTTTTTTTTTTAAATTTGTAGTCGTTATTAGGAATATGCTGCTGCCCATCTCCTGACTTGTTTCCCAATGCCGCCTCTCGCGACACCCACGGGATGATATGGAGTAGTGGATGTTGTTACACTGCCACAACACGGTACATACGTGCAATAAATACATCATTGAACCAATTTATTTAAAAAAAACTACGTGTGGCACTCGGGGACTGCCGCGGTAAAGCTATTGCATATCATTTTTTATCAACTTATGCAATTATAATTATTTATTTATTTTATTTATGCAGTTAAGTCTTTGATATTAAATCAAGTTACACTTTTTGAGCGTGGTGACCGATAAGAAAACAATTTTTTTTCTCTTATTGTATAAATGAGAAGTTAATATTGTTTAAAATATTTTTAATATCTTACAATACATGTAGGTTATTCAGGAATTTTTATCATTCAGTTAGCAGCTAGTGTACACGCATACGTCTAGTCGCACGCACACAAACACCGTGCCGAAGTCTGCCGAACTGAAACGACGTTAGACGATGCACGGCTTTCAACGCCACACCTCCGTGCCCGTCGGAGTGGGGAGCGTGAGGTTTTTTTCGTTACGGAATTTCTGGATTCGGTCCCCGCGCTCAAGGCACGCGATAGAAGCTATGCAATAGCTTAAAACATAACCCCCCACCCCACCATTAGGATTTTCTTCTGTATCGTGGAGACAGTTTACAAACATAAATTGCACACGGACAAAATAAATATTCATTCTCGAACGTGGTAGAGCCATGTTACAGCTATATTAGTTGCAGCGGGAATGAATCGGCTCGACCGATGTAGCCAACTTAGCATCTTAACGCTACTGTGGACCCTTTTTTACTGGAAACGATGCATTCCGTATGAGTCCTCACGGAAGACATGACCTGCATTTTGATTCGATCGAGGATAGGTGTGGTGATGTCTGTGGGCCACAACATCCACTTACCATCAGGTGCACTGGGTGCTCGCTTGTCACCCTTATTCTTGTATTAAAGAAAGATTCTTGCATAAGAAAAAGAGAGGAAACACTGCATACTGTATTCAGTCTCATTCTCTCGCAGGCCAATTCCTATAGATGTATATTATATATTTGTACACCACACTGGTAGAATAAGCGACACCTACTGTACATTATACTATAACACGTAACTCACTATATTCACAAATAAATAAATTTCATCGCTTTTCAAATCACAAAGAAGGTATCACTTAAAAAAATAAATAAAATATTAAATTATACACCAATTTGCAGGTACACACGGGGGCGAAGCCGTACAGCTGTCCGCACTGCGGCAAGTCCTTCTCGCAGTCCAACTCCATGAAGCTGCACGTGAACACGGTGCACCTCAAGATGCCGGCCCCCTACCGCAGCAAGAAGAACAAGAAATAAATATGTACTGTTGTCAATAAAATATTCAAAGATTGTTCTATTTTTATTATTCACTAGCGATCCGCCCCGGCTTTGCACGGGTGATTTCTGGATCTCGACAGTAGCGCCATCTGTAATTAAAATATAAATAAAATTGTGATAAACACAGTATACTGTATTCTATCTCATTCTTTCGCAGGCTAATTCCTATGTTTGTTGTACATTGTATATGTTTGTCTCTTTTCCTTTTCGTCGAGTTTCAAATCGCAGGGATTTTAAAGAAGTTTTCACTTCAAAAATACTTAAGTAAAAAGTAATTTCATACATCACTAGTGATTCGATTTCTTGATATCGACAACAGCGCCACCACCACACAATCTAAACCACCCAGGGACTCACTCAAACATTCACAAAAAATTCAGTCCAACCGTTTAAAAGTTCAGTGATAAACACACAAAATAATTATAAAGAGGTGTGGCCGGTGAGGAAGGAAAAGGGGAGATTTCCCGCCAGGCAAGGTGTTCTGCCTGGGGAGCGGCCGACACTCCGAGTGATATTTCGGAGAAGTTCTATATATACTGTCTATGATTCGGAATGTTAATAGCGCGATTTAGGCTTCGGTGTGCTAGTGGCGCGACGACAGCGTCGCCACATCACCCCCCTGCTCAGACCGGAGGTCGATAGTGCAGTCGAGTTGTCGACGAATGTGCAAGTGCCGGGAGATTGCCTTGTAATCTGCGGTGAGTCGAGAAGAAGGCAAGTAATCTGCGAGAGTGCCGTGAAGCAGAGGCGAGCAGTAAGGCTCAGAGCCGTGCTGAACACTGTATAGCGCAGAGAGTAGCTTGAAGGAACAGGAAGCATTATTATTCCAGTGCTGCGATGAACCTTGTGAAGCTAGATGGCTTGCAGGATATGAAGACTGCAGACGATATCTGCTCAGGAGTGAATGGGTGAGGTATTTTTATGACGATGATGAAGCTTGAAGTTTCCGAAGGTTGTTGGTTGCGTGTTCAGATCACGTCGGGGTCACTACTGTGGCCGGTGAGGAAGGAAAAGGGGAGATCTCCCGCCAGGCAAGGTGTTCTGCCTGGGGAGCGGCCGACACTCCAAGTGATATTTCGGAGAAGTTCTATATATACTGTCTATGATTCGGAATGTTAATAGCGCGATTTAGGCTTCGGTGTGTTTCGGTGTGCTAGTAGCGCGACGACAGCGCCGCTACAGAGGTATCTGGATGCACGGCAGTGCCCCCGCCAAGTCGAGCAAAAAAGCGGCACGGTCGTACCATACTTTTCTCGAAGCAGTTCAGGCCATTTTCGACATTTATAACTTCGTTCTGGATAAAACTAGAAGCCTGAATTTTCATTCACCAAGCAGACATTGTATAAATATGGTATATTTCAAATTTCATTCAATTTGAACTAGTAGTTTAAAAAGTATAACTAGTCAAAGTTTCTTAATTTTGTCACTCACTGACTGACCGATTGTAATGTCGGGAGGTTCGGGGGGATAAATAATGCGTCTACTGGTCTTGAATGTAGGTTTATTACTAACTCTAAATGTCTATTAGGCTATCATATATATAGCTACATGAGCATACACTAAACACACACTACACGATCATCAAAACTCTAAGGCACTTCTAGCAAACATAGAAGCTTCAAAATAAAAATACAGTTAGTGTTTAGTGTATAAATCAAGGAAAAACTAAAATATTTTTCAATTTCGGTCCAGTTTTCTAGATACACCAACTGCATAAAATATCTTTGTAGTCCCATATGAATAGGTATATAATAGGATTACAAAGTTACATTTGCAGTGAATGAATCATTGTACCTGTATATGTATAGGTGTAGATAGGTACGTTGTTAGTATTCAAGAAGTAGATGGTACCGGAAAGGAAAAAAGTAAGATTATCTACAAAAAGAAATGAGATGCCATCAAAAACATAATATATAACATAACATTGTTTCGTGCGATTGCCAAGTAAACCTATTTATTTAAAACATAAAAGATTTGTAACATGTTTATGGTCTCTATAAGATGTTGTTAGATTAGCTAATTATGTAATAACTTAAAACAGAAGGACCCTTAAATAGGGACTGAATAAATTAACCGACTTGGTATTACATAGATCTCACTACTTTTTACGGTAGAAGAACTGAGTTGCGAGACTTGGGTTTTTTTTACAAGTTATGTTTTTGATGGCATAAAATATTAACTTCCATATTTTTAGGTGGTGAATGATGTGTAGATGACAAATAGCACTGTCTTAGCTAAATAAAAGCCTATAACACTTACTTTGAAAACGTTTAGATTGTATTCGGACGGAAAGGCAGACGTCGGTAAATTATTATTCCACTCCTTTGTCGTACGCGTTAACGAAACAAACGGTTTGGTTCTAATGCGTGGAATATTGACAACAAAAGGGTGGCAAAATTCGGCGACCGTCTAATTGACTGGTGAGGTGGAAAGGGAGTAATTTATCATATAGAACACCGATAGGCTGGCTCTTAATGTATGCATAGTCCGTTTGGATAAAGACTGGGATTAGAAGTGGCGACTCATCGAGCCCGTACCGTCAACATGCACTGCATAAATTGCAAAAACTAGCTAATAACGTTATATTATTCTGTTGATTGGAAATACCTACCTTACTTTAGGTAAATTAATTTTAAATAAAATTATTTTATAACTAGCGACTCGCTCTGGCTTTGCCCGGGTGTGATCTATTATAATGGCGTTATTTAGACTTAAGATAATCATTAAATATTATCTTATCAATATTTCTAATTTAATAAAATCTAATTTTTTGGATAAAATTTAGCCTAGATCACTCCTGACATAACTCTCTATTTATTAAAATTAGCTTGGACAAACAGACAAACGAAAATTTTTAAAATGGTTACTCATATTTCAATGACATGTATATATTTTATACAATAATACTTACAATCAAAACAAAATTAACAATAATTATGAATAAAACTCTCAGAACGCGCTTGCTTGTTGTAGTTTAGAGGAATTTTTTACCATTGATTCTAATGACATGTTGGATTGAAGTTATGGAACGTACCGAAAAAAGAATATCGCAACGTATTTTTATTTTGCAGTTCTTACCGGCGGGTGTGAGTATAGACAGCAACAGTGTGCGAGCGAGAGGTGAATAGAGGCGACGACTTTTCAAACCCATTCTTTAATCGCACGGATGGTAATTAAATCTAAGGCCGGGATTCCAAACGCGTAGGCGGAAAAATAAAACCCCACTCCTAAAACTTGTGACAATACCACCTTAAAACTTGCTTGTTCCGATTTACGGTCAAGAATGAATATCCAATTTCTAAGTTCAAAAGCTTTAAGAATAATTAAATAATCTCTTTATCCTGAAGTTATACTAAAGAATAAATATCACTCAAAAGTCAATGTATAGCAGTTAATGAGAGTAGAGGTAGCAAGTCTCATTCCGCATTTCGATAAAAGTTAGTTCCAACCTATTTACGTTCTACTGCTGGGCACAGGCCTCCTCTAATTTTGAGAGGGTTTTGGAGCCGTGGTAACTCAGATGGTTAGCGCTCGCTGTAAATCTCAGAGTATGCGAGCAACGCGGGTTCGATCCCCGCTGTCACCAGTGACATTTTTATTTGCAGTTTTAAGTGCTGATTTATCACTTATATTATCAGCTTTTTTATACGTGGTAGAGCCATGCTGCAATTATATTAGTAGTATAGTTGTAGCACGAATGGATCGGCTCGACCGGGGAAGGACCACGCTCTCACAGAATACCAGCGTGAAATAGTAGCTTAATGCTGCTGTATTTCGTATGGTGAGTGTAGAGAACCGGAGACCCTTTTTACTGGAAATGAGGCATTCCATCTCAGTCCTCACGGGTGACAACGCATCTGCATTTTGATTTGTAATGGAAGATAGATGTAGATGTCTATGGGCCGCAGCAACCACTTACCATCAGGTGGACTGTGTGCTCGTTTGTCACCGTATCCTATTAAAAAAAAAAAAAAAAAAATCACCTGCTCGGCGGTGAAGGAAAACATCTTGAGAAAGTATGCATGTCTGAGAAATAAAAAAAATATTTCGAAGACGTGAAGTTCGCCAACACGCATTTGGACAGCGTGGCGGACACTTCCTTGCCCTAAAACACTCTTATTTCGATAAAATTTGTGGTCAGGTTTGTACGATTAACTGGTCATTAAAAGCTTTCATCTTTTGTAATTTTTCTCTCACAAATATGACATACTATTCTTTTGAAAAGGTTGTTGTAATTATTAATTTCATATCACATATATTTTACAAAGGGCGCCGTGACAAAATACTATATCTTTGAGTGCGCCGTGAACTGGAAAAGCTTGGATCCCCTGGTATAAGGACTGGCTTCTCTGCACTTATGCTCAAGACTGACTAGACCCATAGACATCTACATTTATCCTCGATTAAGGATCAAAATGCAGACGCGTTGTCACTCCTGAGGACTACGATGGAATATCTTGTTTCCAGTAAAAATGGTCTCCGGTTCTTTACACTCATCATACGAAAAACAACAGCCTTAAGCTGCTATTTTACGCTGATATTCTGTGAGAGCGTGGCCCTACCCCGGTCGAGCTGCAGCTGCAGTGTGGCTCTATCACGTAATAAAATATCAAAAAGAAAACGTTAATTCATAATTTGACTATTTGGATTATTTCAATGGTTTTTCCTTTTAATATACAGTTAAAGTTCGTAAAGATATTCTTTTTAAATCATATTATTAGGATTAGTTTTAATTTAGACAGAAGAACCAAATTTATTATATTGACCTTGGAATTTTGACAAGTAATGACTGCGCTTTGACATCTTGAGGTAAAGCTGCACGTCCTGTAAAGGCCGCGAACCCTGAGTCCGATAAACTTATAAAGGCCATCACGAAAAATAGATATTATGTATATATTTTTTATATTATATTGTATGTGTTTCCCATGTAGTGGCCGTGTAAGAATATCTAGGCCGCAGAGGGAAATAAATCAGAAGAT